CTTGCTTTTTCAAAGTGCAACGTGATTTAACGTTATAAAGGTTCTTGTCAGGTCCACGAAAGTGAAATAAAGATTGGGTCCTCATCTACTGGCAATTGGTGAAGCAGCGAAGGTCATGTCAATGGTTACACGATATTATCTGAAGCCTTAATGACTATCCGGAAGAAGTTGTCGTCCCAGATGCCCGTTGAAGGGTAAAAATGAAAATCTTCCCATGAATGTTGATTGGCGAGATGTGTATTTGAGTATCCTAGGATTGTTGGTTTCCTTCCCGCTCGTAGAGTTGGATGTTTGTCGCGTCCTTGAAACTCTAAGAACGTGTACTTGTCGCTACATCTGAATGAACGTCATACATTTATCCATCAGCCGAGGACCTCCATGTTTGTATGCGTCCGTCGCAATCGCGTCAGATCCCGGTGTCTTCCTCTGAAGAGTTGTTGCACTGCCATTAATCTGACTTCGAAGGCCAACCTTTCGGGGTGTCATGCTGGCAGCACGTTTTACAGGACCCGTTGCAGTACCTTGGAAATAATGCCTTACTATGCGTTTCTGAATTAAGAAGGAGATCAAAGGCCAGTGCTCCCTACTTTCGTCTACCCGCTCACCAACTACCACGACGGAAAGCTCTAAGCTGACAAACACTCATTCATCCGTTTATGTACTCTCCAAAATTAGTTGCTTAGGCATGCTACACCTGCGGATGGAGACTAGCTGAAGTCTACCAATCGCCGAATGTTTACTTAATATAGCTTACTGGCCTTAAAAGGCAAACATAGGGGAATGGACAACTTAATGTCATACCGGAACCTCCCATGCTTCCTTAGTGTCTCGGGGGAGGGACTCGACTCCACTCGGAACAGACGTTTCCCTCAGGCTTGAAAACTCACTGTGACATGCCCAAACGACTAAGCTTTTGCTGTCCATATTTCGTTAATCGGATGGTATAAAGGCGAAGGAAGTGGCTCTGTCTTAAAACCCGCTTGAAATCCTCTATTTATTTCTTTCATAGTTCTCCTAGATGTCCATCTTTAAATGCAGGGTTTTCTAAGTGACCACTTGTACGGCACAGCCAGGTCAAGGAACAACTGAATAGTCTGCGTAATTTCGTTAAAACGAACCAGAGTTTAGTGTTTCTTTCTCCGTCCGTAATCTAATTTAAGTATCAACTAATAAGCCGTCCCCTATCCGTGTCTTCATGACCACCACAAGCCGGTCGGACCTTAATAATACAATGTTTGGATCCCCGATAACACTATTATAGGTAACACTACGGAACTAAAAATCCAAGCATTCTTTAATACGGGACTGGTAGTAATGAAAATTTAGCTGTAATTTGTTATTTTATTAATTTACATTTTTCACTTATCGCTCGCATTTTCTTTGATATATATTAGTATTTGATAATAACTTCATCTACTATTTCCTGTTGTTGTCTACTGTCTTTTATCTTCTCTGTTGTGTCCCCGTTCTGCTTCAACCGTATAACCCCCATTACCACCTGTCCCGTGTTAAATAATTCTGAGGTTATGGCTTCCGTGGTGTTACCTATAATATACTGTTGTTGGATCTCCTTTAAAGCGCACCTCCGCGATGGCTTTCTTCGTGCCACATAGTTCCACCTAGATTGTCTGAACCTTTAAAAGCAGGTGAGCTGTTGCATGTGCCGTTATGCTGCGCTTCCTCTCAATCCACAGCTTGGCATCTCACCTCTGCACTTTTCGGCCATGAACGGCCACTTGAGCACATGCGAGGCCCTACTGAAAGCTGGTATAAGTCGTGATGCGCGAACGAAGGTGGATAGGACCCCTTTGCATCTGGCCGCTCAGGAAGGGCATGCTGACATCGTTGAACTTCTGCTGAAGAACGGGGCCGATCTTGAAGCCAAGGATATGCTGCGTATGACTGCACTCCACTGGGCAGCAGAACGCGGTCACTCGCCGGTTGTCCAAGTTCTTATGCGTTACGGAGCCAACGTTCACCTTCAGAACAAGTTTGAAATGACCCCGCTGGAGATAGCTGAGGCCAAGGGCCATACCGATGCTCGGGATGCGATGCTGGTAAGCTTACCTGATTACTGTTAGCATAGCATCAAGACTCATATAACTAACACCTTGCTGTAACGGACGCCCAGGCCAAACATATTCGCCGTCTAATTACGCCTCATGTGAGCCCCCAAAGAGAGAACACGACAAGAAGTGTGCAGAAAGCGGAAGT